AACAGAAGGAGGCTTTTCCAGCTCATTGTGCACGTGCTTGCCTTTTGCTGGTGCCAAGCAATTCATCCCATTTCCCTATCAGCAAAGGGCCATGCGTTTCTTCTCCGACTTAGTATTGAATTTGCTTCCATCTATTTGGGCAAAGCATTTGAGTTCATACTATGATTTTCTTTAAAAGCTCTTCTCCTCTCCTCTGGGATTTGCTAATTATCTGTTTCCTCTGGTTACTGACCCTCCTGCCAGTGGAATGTTAGTGAAAAGTTTCTCTTTGTTTAATTAACCAGTTTGCTCTCTTGACACTATGGACTGGCTCTGGGCTTGGGTCACCAAGTCAGCCACAGATGAGGTTGTGTGCCAAATGATCTGTCAGGAGTGTTAGAAATCTCTTTCGCTTTATTGCTTTGTGGACAGAATTCTGTTATCCAGCCATTGTTGTGAAAATCTCCTTTGTTCCCCTCTTCTCTTTCTGACAATTTAATGTTCTGAAAAATAAGCACTTCATACTCATACACTTTAATACTCATCAAGGCCAACTTTTTCCAAGTAACTTGCTCTCCTGACTCTCAGGAGTCAGTCTCATGGTCCTGTTCTACATTGCTTGCAGAGTTTGGATGAGTCTCTCACAGCTGGTGACTCGAGTGTGCGTCTGGAGCAGAGAGTGCTGTACATCTCCTGTTCTAAGAGCGCTGACAAATTACTGGGAATGCAATGAGCTTTTGGGTCCTTTTTTTGCCCATCTTTTCGATCATCGATGCTGGTGGTATCAGTGTTGACTGTGAATCAAGTCTTTTCTGGCAGGATCCCTGGTCCCTTTCTACTGGTACTGTTCCCACAGGTGGGAGGTGCACGGATTTAGCACAGTAGGCAAAACGAGACAAGGAAGAAGGAATGTTTTGTTTTAAAAGCGTAATTGTTTCAATCCGGAATATGCTGTCTTAAAGATTGGTGGAAGCAGTTTCAGTAATAATGCCCAAAAGCAAATTTGGGTTTATATTTGAAAAGAAGGGAAAATGCACATTCCTGGTGAATGAGCAAGACCGAGGGGATAGTTGGATACTTTGTCAGTCACCACCAGACCTGATGAACTGAATGACGACCACCTGCATTGGGATTTCCCTCTTGTCACTCTCTGTCTCAGGGACACTTGCTTCAATTGATCCCTGGTCTAGAGCAACGTAACAATCACATTCTTATGAGCAGAATACAGAACCACAAAATTGTTATGGTCTAGAAGGAGGCCACTTGGCCCATCAAATTTAAATTGGCTCTTGAAACAAATAGTTACCTAGTGCTAATTTCCTGCTTATCCATCCATACCCTTGTGCACAATTTCTGACCAGATAATCATGCAGCACCCACTTGAATGTCGCAATCGGACCTGTCTTCACCATGGTTCCAGGCAGTGCCTTCCATGTCCTAACTACTTGCTTTGTGAAAGTTTATTCTTTTCTTGTGTCACACTTGCTTCTTTCACTCATCTCTTTAAACCTGTGACCTCTCGTTCTTTTATTTATTCGGCATGTCCAGTTCATTTCCTGGTCAGTGGTAACCACTTGGATGTTGACAATGGGGGATTCCGTGTGATGTCATTAAATGTCAACAGACGATGGTTAGATTCTGTCTTGTTGGAGGAGATCGTTGCCTGGCATTTGAATGTTATTTGCCACCTTTGAACCCACACCTTGATATTGTCTCAGTCTTGCTGCATTCAGCCATGGACTGCTTCAGTACCTGAGGAGTTGAGAATGGTGCTGAACGTTGTGCAATCATCGGCGAACATCCCCACTTCTGACTGGAGGGAAGGTTATTGAAACAGCTGAAGATATTTGGGCATAGGGCACTTCTCAGAGTGGTGATAGTCTTTTATAAACGTGTGCTTGTGTCACTGAATTCCACAGCAACATTTGATAGAACAGTACCACAGTGCACTTCTAGTGTTGGAATCCTCAATCTACTGAATTCCTCATTTGCCAGAGATCCTTTGCTGGAACTGAGCACTACGATCATCACCAAATATTCCTAATTCTAATCTGATGTACGGATTGTCCTTCATGAAGCAACTGAAGATGGATAAACATTGCATGTTGCCACAAGGACCTCTTACAGTGAAGATCAGGGACTTTGATGAATGCTGTGGCTGTTGGAGTCCATTTTTGCCCTGTTAGACTCCAATCAATGGAGAGTTCCCGATCCCGCCTGCCCGCCCTGGATTTCCAGATCCAGTTTGGCTCAGGATCTTTAGCACCACATTCTGTAAAATGCTACATGGCTGTTGAGGTCAGTAACCTCTGGAATTTGGCTCTTTGGTGAATGTTTCCTCTGAGGTGTAGTGCGCTCTGATGCGGAGGGGTCCTGGCAGCAAGTAGTGGAATGTCAGTGAACAAGCTATTGCTGAGTAAATGCTACTTAACAGTGCAATCATGTCACCATTGCTTTGCTGGTGATTGAGAGCAGACTGGAGTTGGAATTGTCCACATTGGATTTATCCTGCTTTTTATGGGCAGGACAAACAGGAGCGATTTTTCTGCTTTGCCAGGTAGATTCTGCAACAGCTCTGGGGAGGTCAGTGCTAATTCTGAAGCATGTGACTTTAGTACTGCAGCTGTGATGTTGTCAGGGCCTATAGCTTTTGTATTGAGTGCTGTCTGTCTCCTGTGGTTAATCCATGAGTGAAGTATAATTTTAAATGACATTTGAATTAAATTAACCAACATTTTCTATTTTGATTCCTCGTTTTTTGTATAAAGTTTGTTTGAATAGGACACTTCCAGAGAATTTGGCTCCCAATGTTGTGTGCTGAAACATTTTAATCTAGAAGGAAAAAAGTCATCTGGCTTTTTTTTTAAGAAACACAATTGCAATTTTATTTTTGTTGTTTTTGCTTAACTGATTTGAAAAGATGATCACAGTCAGCTTTTCTTAATTTATTTCCTAAAGGTGGTGGAGGGAAGAGGAAAGGCCGCAGTAAAAAATGGCGAGAGATGCTGAGGTTACCCCACATCAGTCAGTGTGAGGAGCTGCGACAGACCATTGGTAAGCTACCCTTTACTTGAGAGAGTGTGAATTGGTTCTGACTTGTAACACCACACACACATGGTTTCTGTTATTCGCTACGTGCACAATAAGAAATGTAATGGCTCCGACGTCTCGCTCTTCTCATCCATGTTTTGAAATCTTTCCGTGGCTTTGCCCCTTCTGTCTCTGTAATATCCTCTGGACTTGCAACCTTTTGAGGCATCTGAGCTCCTCTAATTCTAGCCTGTAATGGATCCCTTATTAAAATTGCTCCACCAGCCTTGGTAAGTGGTGGAAGCATGGTCATTGAGTAGTTTTTAAGGCAGAGGTTGATAGATTTTTGATGGGCAGGGGAATTGGGGGTTAGATGGGAATGTGACATTGAAAACACAAACAGATCAACTACGATCTTATTGAAAAGTGGAGAAGGCTTGAGGGGCTGTGATTGACTTGTGTCTTGTCACATGTTCATAATGTCTGATACCTTATTGCTAAACTTGAGAGTTCACTCACTAAATGCCTCCACCTTGCTGTCTTAGAGGAGCTTCTTAAAACTTACTTTTTTTGATCAAACTTCTGTCATCTGCCCTAATTACCACCACATGACTTTAGTGAACAAAATGTAGTAATGTTTCTGTGACATGTCTTGGATATATGAATATTGATATGCATATATGAATTTGGAGTAGGCCATTTGGCCCCTCAAGCCTGCTCTTCCATTTGACAAGATCGTGGTTGATCTCCTCTATCTTCCTGACTGCTCCCAAAGTTCCTCCCCACTTATCAAGAATCTCTCCCTCTGCCTTAATACTCAGACTCTGCTTTCACTGCCTTTTGAGGAAGAGTGTTCCCAAGTCACTTAATTCTGAGAGATAACATTCATTTAAAACAGATAAAAAGAATGGCCCTTTCTTTTTCAAGTCATATCCCTAGTTCTATATTTCCCCCACACAGGAAACCTGCTTTCCATGTGCACCCAGTCAAGACTGCTCAGGATTTTGTACCTTTCAATCGAGATATCTCTTGCCCTTCTAAACTCCAAATAGACACAAAATTAGTCTGTCAAACCTTTCCTCAGAAGACAAACTGCCCATTGCAGGTATCATTTCTAGTAAACTTTCTGGACTGCCTCCAGTGTATTTTCCATCCTTGCTTAAATGGGGAGACCTATACTGTACCCAGTAGTCCAACTGTGATCTCCCTGTTGCCCTTTGACACTTCCTTATTGTTTGTATTCAATTCCCCTTGCAAAAATAACAGTAACATTCTAATAGCTTTCCTCATTACTTGCTGTGCCTGCATACTAACCTATTGCAATTTGTGCACGAGGACACTGATCCCTTCACACCTCTGAGCTGTAAAATCTCTCACTACTTAAATAACATGCTTCTGTATTCTTCCAGCCAATATGGGTAAGTTTGCATTTTCCCACATTATGCTCAATTTGCTATCAATATCCCTCTGAAGTTGCCTCATGTTCTCTTCACCACTTACTTTCTTACCTATCTCTTGTGTCATCTGCTGATGCTGGTTGTTTGTTGTTTTTCTGATTACAGTGAAGAAAATTGAGAATTTTTTTCTCTCTACTGAGGGATAAATCAAATGGAATATCTATTGATTTCCTTTTTAATGTTAAGTAAAATCTTCAGTTGGAATTGATCTCAATTACAGTTTGATAATTCCTTTGTGGTCAATTTGCTGTAGTGAGCCTGAGAGTTTGTGGCTTTGAGTTCAAAGTATCATGTTGTGTAGCAGGATCCAAGAGTGCAGTGTGCCAAATCTTTTACAAGAACACACATGTGGTTCTAACTGGTCAAATTGTACCAGTCAGTACTAACCTCCTGACTGGACTGACTAGTCAGCAATCTGAGGTGCTTGCTGGAACTGTACTGTAATCATAATTTTAAGAGGTTTATATCCATTAATCGTTTATCACTTGGTTAAAAACTGAATTGATCATTTATTAAGTGAATTGAATTGCTGAAGTAAGATTTCCAGAGCGTGTGCGTGCTAGAGGACCAGTGCTCTCCTTTGGTCTGAAACGTTACCTGGCACTGCATTGTGTATCTCTCTCTCTCCACCAAATGGACTGCAGTGGTTCAAGAAGGCAGCTCACAGCCACCAGCTTCAAGTTTCCAGTGCCTGCAACGTCCCCCTCTTGGATAAATGAAAGAAATAATTAGCCAACGACAGATCTATTTAGAGTACTTTTGAAAGATTGGGTTCCCTCCCACCCCAATGTTGCCCTGTAATGTTTTACTCAGCCACAGCGTACTTAGTGCTCTGTTTTGAGTCAAAGTCAAATGTTTCGGTCTCACTCCAAATGTAATGGTGGATGTACCCATGCTGTATGAGGGAGTGTTGTATTGTTGGAGGTGCTGTCGTCTTTGAGACATTTTAATCTGAAGCACTGTCTGTGCACATGGGTGGACATGTCCTGTCTAATAATTATCCCTGGATTTGCTTCAGTAGCCAATAAAGTACTTTGGGACACCCTGGAGTTGTGAAACAAGTGGCTTAACTGCCATGTTTGTCTGCCTCTCCCTCCCAGAGGAATGCTGCTGTTATTCCCAATATGGGCAGATTTTGTAAGTTCACTTTTTGAGGAGTTGTGACAAAATCTGTGGTTTGCGATTGCATCAGGAGAGGTTTTCCCATCTTCAAGCTGCTACAAATCGTATCAGACTTTCTCATGCCCTTTTTTTTGGCTTTTTGCTTGACAAATGAAACCTCTATTTTCTTAACCTTCAGAATAACAGAATGCATGTTGTGATAGTGATTTTTAGAAGTCAGTCATGATTGCATCCCTAAAACCTGGCATAGAGCAGCTGCTTGCTGTAAACAACAAGTGAGTTAACACACAGACTTCTTCAGCAGTAGCTAGTACATAACAAATTTCCTGGTTTACAGGAAATTTCACCAAATACCTACCGAATCAGCTGTCAGATTGGCTTCTGTTTTGTTGTTAGTTGAGGGGTGGAGACATTCGAGGTTTCAGTAACTGTTGAGATAGAAACAGCCACACAATGCTGGGACATTTAGTAGTTTCTGGGCTGTCTGCAGAAAGAAACATTGAGATGGGTTATGCAGCCACCAGTCATGGCTTATTTGAAGGGGAAAGATGATGTATTTTCTGTAAAAGGGAAAGGTTGAAATGTGTTAAAGTGAACAATTTCACTTCCCCTTGAAACTGGTGACTTTAACAAAACAAAAACTCTAGAGGCAAGCTTTTACATACCGATGAATTTTATAAGAATGAAAAAGAGCAGAGTTGCATTTATGTAGCAACTTCTGTGACCTGAAGATGCCCCACAAGCATTTACAGTTAATGCAGTGCTGTTGCCAAATTTAAATGGAGAATGCTGGGAATGTTGGGGCGGTACGGTGGCTCAGTGGTTAGCACTGCTGCCTCACAGCACCAAGGTCCCGGGTTCGATTCCAGCCTCGGGTGACTCTGTGGGGAGTTTGCACGTTCTCCCCGTGTCTGCGTGGGTTTCCTCCGGGTGCTCCGGTTTCCTCCCACAGTCCAAAGATGTGCAGGCTAGGTGGATTGGCCATGCGAAATTGCCCATAGTGTGCAGGGATGTTTAGGTTAGGTGGGTTAGACATGGGAAATTAGGGGAATGGGTCTGGATGGGATGCTGTTCGGAGGGGGGTGTGTGGACTTGTTGGGCCAAATGGCCTGTTTCCACACTGTAGGGATTCTATGATTCTATGCTCAGAACAGGCAGCAGTTGTGGTAAGAGAAACAAGGATTAGTGTTTCATATTGGTGATCCAACATCAGACAGAGGCAGCAACCCAAAATGTACACACTGTTTAGAGGTGGCCAGGCCTGCTGAGTATTTCTCAGCATTTTCCACTTTTTTATTTCAGATTTCCAACCTCAGCCATATTTTTGTTTTTTAAATAATATTGAGTTGTGGATGTCACTGCTGAGGCTGCAACTTGCTACTGACCCCTGACTGGCTGTCTCTGCCATTTCAGCGAGTAGGTGACAATCCTCCATGTTGCTGTGGGTCTGGAGTCACATGTAAGGTGGATTTCCTTCCCTAATAGGAATCAGCAAACTAGATGTGTTCACAATTCCTGAGGCTAGCTTTATATTTCAACGTTCAAATAATACACTAATTTTAGTAAACAATAACATTCTCAAAGTACATGTCCCCAGAGCATTAGCCTGGGCCTCTGCATTACTCATCCAGTGACATTACTGCTATACCATGTCTCCCCCAGTTTACAAATCAGGGTAAAATTCTTGCCTGTTGCAGGCAACCGTCATAAAATGATACAGCACTAAAATTTTTAATATTCAATATTGTCTGTTCAGACTTTTTGAAAGTGTTACCTGGTTAATCCTACTCATGTGTCCTCTTTCCCTGTAGACTTGCATCTGATGGGAGCAATCTGTGGGGGTCCCTGAAAAATTATCACAAGAAACTTACTCTAAAGGCCCTCTCCCCAGTTTGTGACAGAGCCAAGTGTGCATGATGTTGGTTCTGGGTTCGTGTGGGACTTAATGCCGCACCCCTTCACCATCCTGTCTAATCCAGGGACTTTGTTTGCAGTAATAGAGTTTGCCTCTCTCTAGTATAAAATGTACAGGATTATAGAGCTGTGTTTCTAAATGACAGTGTGTTAACCTTTGGAAGGGGAACATAAGGAATTGCAATCACACTGATTGAAGCTGCAGGATCAGGAAGTTTTAATAATCTTGGCTGGCAACCTCTGACGCATGTTTGGCATGCACGGGACATGAAAGAGTCAGGATCAACCCAGTGATGTTCCTTCTGACAGTGCTGGTAACAGTGCACCATGGAAATGTCTTCCACCCCGCCCAGTGGTGAAAGGCCACTTTCGGTTCCCTCTCCCTTATCTCTCTCTTGCACCCAGTCCTGCTTCCTTCCTGCCCTTGTGCTGACTACGTAATTCTATTTTTTAAACTTTCACTGAGTTATGGAATGACTTAAGGGAGTGCCCTGATCTGAAGTGTCTTGTTCTTGGCCATCAAGAGTAGAATATGTATAATTAGAGGAACATAGTGTTTCATTTTCATTTCCCCTTTACACCCCTTCATTTACAACAGGATACCCCTGCAACTTATTGCTTGTTGCTTGATTACTAACTAGAAAGATCTACTTAACTCCTTCAGTGTGGCAGGTAGATGTTGAACTGTACATCTGATATTCCATATCCTGCATTCCTTCACACCATGATATCCAATGCATTCAACCGTGTTGGTCCTAAGCTCTAGGATTTATCACTTCCAACTTTTTTTCTCTCTCCTTTTTGAAGATTCTACTTAATTTCTATTTTTGACCAAGATTTTGGTGAACTGACCTAACACTCATCTCCCCCTTTTGGCTTGGTGTTTGAGGGCACTGCTCCTGTGAAACACCTCAAGATATTTTGTTAAAGTAGAGGCGCTATACAAATGCAAGATGATAAGTCAGGGAGATTAATAACTCGATTGATCCCTGGGATGGGACAAGAAGACTGTCCTATGAGAAAAGATCAAGCAAAGTGGGGCCCATGGTCTCTTTACAAAACTCACACTTGAATAATTTTAATGTGATTTCACCTTGCTCAGTTGAAAGCTTTGATTTCATGTATGCACCTTCCCTGATGGATGAAGATCTTGGGGAATACAGAGAAGGGAAAAGGAATGATTTACCTGTGTATATAGTGCCTTTTGTGCTCTTGGGACATCTCGATATTCTTCAGAGTTTATGGAGTAGTCAGTTTGTCCTGAGCTGGAGTATTGTGTCCACTTCTGGGACCCTACATTTTAGGAAGGATGTGAGAATGGTACCAGAGATGAGGACTTTCACTTACTAAGACAGATTGGAGAGGCTGGAAGTGTTTTTCCTTGGAGAAAAGGCTGAGAAGAGATCTAATTGAGGTATTCAAAATTGTGAGGGGTCTCGACAAAGTAAATAGAAAATATCATTACTTGTGAAAGGATTGAGAATGAGGACACAGATTTAAGTTATTCATTAAAAGAAGCAAAACTGATGAGAGGAAAAGCTTTCCACAAAATGAATGGTTAAGACCTGTAATCCACTGCCCGAGAGTGTGGTGGAAGCAGGTTCAGTTGAAGGGTTGAAAGGGGAATTAGATGGTTTTGGGAGGAGACCGGAAAATAACACTAGGTGAGATGCTCATTTGGAGAGCTGGTGCAGACCGGATGGGCTGAATGGCCACTTCCTGTGTTGTAGCAATTTTGATTGAGTACTTTTGAAGTGTCACTGCTATTGTTTTATAATGAAGGAAATGCAACAGTCAATTTGAGCATGGTAAGTTTTTTTTTTTACAGAATAGCCTGATTTAATAAAACCCAGGTTATACAATCACTGAAGGAGTGCACTGAGGTGCAGGCTTGATAGACCAGCAGTTTGGTTTCTCTATCAGGTTGCTGTTATCCTCCTCCTCCTCCTCCTCCTCCTCTCTTCCCCCCACCACCTTCTTTCACCCTGCAGCTTTGTGATGTGTGCTATCTTCAGCATTGAGTGACAGATTGATTGTGGGGCCTGGATATGTGAAGCTATGAACAACTTCCAGCACCATACCACCAATGCTGATGGATGATGTTATGGCAATATTTTGAAACATGACATTTATCTTTCTAGCGCTGATGATAAATCAAGCTGTTTAAAGTGAAAGAGTCTGTCCATTGCCACTGTGTGTTTCTCTGTATGAAATGCTGGTCTGGCGTTGTTGGCATGGAACAACTCTGAGAACTTGGTGGAGCCCTGACTTGGATTTTAGATGAACAAGGCACAATAGTCAGTTTTGGAAATGTGACTGTGCTGTGGCATTGATCACAAGGTATGGCTTGTGACTATCTCTGGAACTTTTGCATAGAGCACAGATACAGACCCTTCGGTCCAACCAGTCCATGCCGAAAATAATCCCAAACAAACCAGTCCCAACGGCTTTCTCCTGGCCTATATCCCTCCAAACCTTTCCTGTTCATGTACTTATGCAAATGTTTTTTAAACATTGTAGTTGTACCACCACTTCCTCAGGAAGTTTGTTCCACGCACAAACCACCCTTTGTGTTTTTTAAAAAAAAAAAAAATTGCATCTCATGCTTTTTTTTTAAATCTCTCTCCTCTCACCCTAAAAATGTATCCCTTAGTCTTTTAACCAACTTTTAACTAAGTTTCCCTGAAATCTCTTGTTTGTGTTCTTTTCCTCTTTGGTTCTTCCACTCATTGAATATCCAGACTTAGTGTACAGTAAGCCCCCACAAACAAATATAATGAGTTTGATTGATGTTCCTGTTTGGTAAACTGCCATGGTGCTCTCTTTGCAAAGTATTCCACATCACAGTCATGAACTGATCTGAGCCTCCTGTTTTAATGGTTTATCTAAAGCACACCACTTCTAACAGTGTAGCAATCCTTCAGTACTGTGCAGTACTGAATCATAAAGTGCTTTGGTTTCGGGTGTGGGACTCTGAACCTACAGCCAGCTGACTCGGGATGGAGAGTGCTACCCACTGAAATAGGGCAAGCAGTCAAGGTTTGTGCATATAAATTGCTGTGGGAATAGATTCTTCTCTGCTACCCTGTGGTCTGTCAGCTGTTTCGCAGAAACTTGCTCAATCCTGAAATCAAGCTGCTGTGTCAAAAACAAAAACAAATTGCTGGAAAAGCTCAGCAGGTCTGGCAGTATCTGTGAAGAGAAATCTGAGTTAACATTTCGGGTCCGGTGTCCCTTCCTCCGAACTGAGCCCAGTCTCCCAAACGTTAACTCTGATTTCTCTTCTCCGATGCTGCTAGACTTGCTGAGCTTTTCCAGCAATTTCCGTTTTTGTTTCTGATTTACAGCGTCCGCTGTCCTTCCGGTTTTTATTTAAGGTGCTGTGTTGGTCAGCTGGGAATTTGGAAAGAAAATGTGGTAAATGTATTGCCTTACCTAAGGAAAGATAAACTGGTATTGAAGATAGGCCAGAGAAGGTTCGCTAAGCTGATAATACTGAGTATGTCTTAGGAGAAGAGGGTGAGTAGGTTTGGGCATGTACTCCATTGGGGTTTAGAAGAATGAGAGGTGATGTTATTGAAACGTTAGAATTCTTCGGGGACTTGACAGAAAAGATGCAGAAAGGTTGTTTCTCAGTCTAGGACCTGAGGGAATAATCTCAGCCATTTATACAAAGCAGGAGGAATTTCTTCTCAGAGGGTCACAGAGGGCTGTAGAAGTTGGTTATTAATTATATTCAATGCTGAGATAGACATTTTTATTCAGTAAGAGAATCTTATGAGGGGGAAAATGGAAGGAAAGTGGGATTGAAGATTATCCAATAAACCAGAGTCTCATTGAAGAGTGCAGCAGACTCAATGGGCTGAATGACCCACTTCTGTATCTATGGTGTTAACTCTGGTCACCCATGGAGGAAGAGACTGTTTCAGGTCAGCAGTCTCTTTGTAGAAAATACTGGGTTTTTTGGTTGTTTCTGTGAACCTGATTATGTAATCCGAAGCAAAGGGCTCTTGCTTTGAACGCACCAATGGGTCCAGTGCCACAGAATAAACCTAAAGAAATTCCTCACATCTGGAAAATGGTTTATATTTTTGATCATTCATTACTGTCCGCTGTATCAAATTTAATAAAATAAACAAGTTAACCACAAAAACCAGAAGGTTCCCCTCCTGTTATCTCACTCCCTCATCTAACCAAGTCACAATTTAAAAAAAAAAAAAAAGTTTTTAGAAAAATAGGCTAATCAACCTGTTCAGAGATGTTACTACACCCCTTTGGAACAGGTAGGACTCAAACCTGGGTGTCTCAGTTCAGGGGTAGGGACAGTACTACTGTGCCACAAGAGTCCCTAAGTTATAATTTATATTCTGAGCCCAGATGATATTCTGGTGTTAATTGATGTAGCCATTCTATAAGTTGTGATGTGTGTGACTATGTTCCCCAGGCAGTTGACGAGTGACTGGTTAAACAGAAGGCTGCTTTCTGTTGTGATATGCACTAGTGTTGCACATTGTGGAGTTAGTCCTCTGGGTAGTGTTCTCCCTGTGGAGTCAGAAGACTGTGTGGTTTTGAGCCACACTGCTGAGGTGCGAGCACATAAACCTCCACTGATACACTCTGGCGCAGTGCTGAAGAGCTGCTGCCACTTGGTAAACTGAGTGGGACGGAAAGATAGAAACGTTGAAATAGGACCAGGCTGTTCAGCCCTTTTTTAAGCCTGCTGTGTCATTCAACATGGCTGATCACCCAACTCATTTCTGAAGAAGGGTCTAGGCCCAAAACGTCAGCCTTCCTGCTCCTCTGATGCTGCTTGGCCTGCTGTGTTCATCCAGCTCTACACCTTGTTATCTCAGTACCCTGTTGATCCCTTTAGCCCTAAACTGTATCTAACTCCTCCTTACAAACAGTCAATGTTTTGGCCTCAACTGCTTTGTGGTAGATAATTCCTCCAAAGACTCGCTGTTCTCTGGGTGAAGAAATTTCTCATCTCTGGCCTAAATGGCCTACTCTGTTCTCCCT